AGGAAATATAACATTTTTATGCCTTCATTTATTTTAACGCACCGTTACCATGTTTCGTAAAAATTTTATTATCACCATGATTGCCATTATTATCGTTTGGAAAAATAAGTTTATATTTGAGATTGTACAGCTTTGAAAATGAACTCACCGAAAAGAGAACTCTCCTATAAACCAATATCTTCCTTATTTTTTTTCATCTCAATAGCAATATTCTGTTTACTTAGGAATATGAATGGATCATAAATAGCTGACTGAAAGTTAATCATAGTTTTCCTAACGGATGATATTTTAATCTCTGATTGTTTAATAATTATAGGCAAAAGTTTGTTTTCACGCATAAACACTATTTTACCACTGATTAAACACTTATTTTGTTTGTATTTATGTTGATTTTGCACTTTATCGTGTTAAAAGTCTATCAGGAAGAACCTCTGAGTATATTTTAAATTCAGTAAAAGATACCGGGATCAACTGGCTTTTCGTAAAATTATAGTTTAAGTTCCCAACAGATATCACTACTGCCTTTAAGGTACATTCAAACTCAGGTCAAATTACCTCGAAATGAGCATATTCTTTTAGCTTTTCTACACACCTTGTTAATCCTCCCTTAAGTATATTCTCGAGCCATTTATCATTAAAACATGTTACAAGACGCTTTGCCGTTTTAATTTTCTGCATTCGGTTAACAACAGACAAACATCTCTTACTGAAGTATGATGAGAGTTTGTATTATGTACCTCAGAACGACTTGATAGTGCTCGTTATAATTTGAATTTCAAACCTTTGGCTTCATAAAATAGGAATTTATGGTATCTTTTAACTCCTAATGAAATGTTATAATTACGACGAAGCTTAATTGTTTCATAAAACTAAACAACATTGAAAGTAACGAAAGTTTCTTCTAGGCTAAATTTGTACTATTAGTCACTTATCGCTAAATTTTACCCATACTTGTTAAATTGGTCAACGTTTTCTAGTATGAGTAAACATAACCTCATAGAAGAGGCCAAATCCTCTTTAGCGTTTGATAATCACTGTCTGACTGTGACAATTTTGTCGGTAATACAGAACTTATAAATATTGATTAATTACGCTCATTTATCAATTCCAAATTTATACTCACGGTTTAGAGTTTAACTTTAGATACGCGAGTAAATAGATACTACTTAAATGCCTGAATCAAACTAAATCCGTGAACTGGGATTTAATTGTGAGACTTAATAGTTTAATATTCAGAACTTTATTCACTAAATCACAGCTCCACCTGTAATACATCACTTTAGGAAAATAAAACTTTTACATCTGTATATTTTGAATGAAAAACAATTTATTGTATTTCAGGATGAATATGATGCCCTGGAAGCGGAGTATACAGAGGAGAAAAGAGCTTACGATGAACTGAATGAACGTTTTCAGGTAGGACAGAATTGTCTACTAGATATGGAATTTAATGTTTATAAATGATATACCTTATAAGAAGCACTTTAAAGGACACACAACGGAGTGTGTTAATAAGATTTCTTATTTTTCTGTAATATCAGGATTTATAGGCTTGTCAGAGATTGAGAAAAGTGTATCTACAAGTGAAATACGTTCGCATAGTACTACTTTAACTTTACAATTTAATACAAGGGTAATCTAACAAAAGTGAGAGTAATTTCATTTAATAACCCGATAAAACAAATATTTAGTGAGTAACTAATTGTTCCTACATACCTGTACACATAAGAGGTACTGAAATCATATTAATTAGACTAATTTGTTTACATTTATTATGTGAAACATTTCAAATTTTTTCATAGATTAGGATGGTTATCAATTTATATCTGAAATCTGCTACTCATAGAAGATGTGGAATCTTCGGTAACCTAACTATCATTGGTCGTAGTATACTTTGAATTATAATGAAAACTATCTATCAGATAAGTCTTTTCATTACCTTTCCTACTTTTAACCAAAGTGGAGAGAATAATATATACTATCAAGCTGCAGATGAATAGTAGGGAAGTTGGTTCAATCAAGTCTGAAAATCAACATCTACGTTAATACTATTCAGATCACTGGAACTATCTGTAAACAAAGATTTGCTAAGCAATATTCATTGAAATACAGAGCTTCCTATGTAGTTCATATTTGGATTAGCTAGTCATTAAGATGTTCGTTTGTAGCTGACTCGAAGTACAAATCAAACCAAACTATTATACAATTTTGAACAATATATCCAAATAAGAAATCTCTTACCCGTCTCTTTAAATGATAGTTATACTAATAAATATATACTTCAACGTAGTCTTAGTGAAAAAAATTTATACACTAGCTAATCACTGATAATTATCGGTGCATTCTTGACTTTGCTCGTTCTACATCATTCTTGAATGTCTACTAATTTTTTTAGTCAATTTGTATTCCAGCAACTAATACTCTCCATTGAATTCTGACGCAGGTAATATGCTAATTATTTAAGAGGATTCTAAAATCTTCTAGGTATATCTGGAGTTCAGCTATTAAGTTTCTGTAACATTTTTTCGTGCAACTAACTGTGAAAAAATGATACCTTTTTGATGTCTTGTTAATTTGAACACTTTATTCGGTTCCTAAGCTATTCTGGTAACCCGCAAGCTAGAACTACGCAGCGACCTGAACTCGAGAGAAAAGGCTCGAAATAAGCGTAAAACACTTTACTCGAAAGGTTCCTTTTTGTACAGAAAAACAAGTGTATTTATAGATGTTACCATTTGTTAAATCAACATCATATTTTGGTCAATCCACTAAGAGACATATTGTGCTACTGACCAATGGTAGCACGCCACGTTGATATTCTAGAAAGCTTCATCATGTTCTGATTGGCTAGGACTCTTCGGCTCCTTTAGGGCCTCTGGAGGCTCCATTGCAGTCCTCGGAAAGCCGACTCAACGCTTCTTTAATGGGACTTTTATGGTCATTATTTAATAACTGATGAAGCGATTCCTTCTCGTGAAAGTAGCTGATGCTATTTCTCCCAGATCCAATAATCAAAGTCCTCGAAGTACTGCTCAGTGGTTGAAGGACCTCATAATTATAGACGATTTAAAACAGAAAGCTTTTTACAGAGAATTTTCTTCAACAAAATCTGATGCCAACAGTATATGAATTAATAGATGGATCGACGTTTATAGCATCCGAAAACATTATCAGACTATGTTTAAGGTTAAGAACAGCCAAATTAAGTGGCTGACCTGGTAAAAATCCATGACTCGTCTTCGGCATCAGATTTCGTCAGTGTGAACTTGTAGGCAGTTTCTGGATTCCCGGTGAGGAGCCATAGCCAGTAAAGTTTAACAGTGTTGTGTGAGACAGTTACCAACCGCAGGCAATGAAAGATAGTCACGCAATCTCGTGAATCGATCAAAGTTAAACATGTAGAACATTAGATGCCTGTTTTCAATGGTCTTAGAGATTAAGCGTTCGCACACGAGACCAAAGGTCCTGGCTTCGATCCCCAGTAGTAGATTGGTGAATGCTAACTGCTAAGGAGTCCAACGCTAAGAAAAAATAGTTTTCCAGTGTTTATTAGTCTTCAATGGCTGTCTATCTATGATCAGTTTGTGATTTAATTATAAAAATCCCACAACATCTACAAACAACATACTAAAAATCAAATTCTCTAGTTGGAATATTTGGCTTTCCTGACAACATACCACTTTTTTGCATAATTTATGCTATGAACAGTGTTCGTCCATTATTGTTAATGAACTTAAACTGGGATATGATTACTCAGAATTTGATACAGTTTATTAGTTTGATTATCAGCTTCAACATGAGCGTAGTTTTCTGTAAAACTGATAGATTTTATGTAGTGTTAATTAAGAGATTAAAAGTTAGGATTGATAGAATATTTATCTGGAGCAATTTTCCACTTAATGATCTAAAATATTTATAACCTATCATCATAGATCTGTGTTTTTAAGTCGGCCTCATCAACGGGGAATTATCGATACTTTACTAATTTATACTTCATGGACAGTTTACTAATCTTCAGACATTTATCTCATAACTTTGTACAATTCATTCATCTCGCATTTATAAAAGTTTAAGAATTTGACTTGATGAACATTTCCTGAAGTTAAATTCTCCACTTTCAGAATTTAAGTGATCTAACAAAATTTAACCACAATAAAATGTAGGCTGTAATACACTAATACGAAAAAATCATAGTCCATTAACTAGCTATTGTTTAGTGTGATATCATACATTTCGCCACAAAATGCTTACTACTTGGAAAAATGTCAAGTATCAAGAGATATTTTAAATCATTAATAATAACCATCTAATTAATTAAGGTTCTTTGGATTTAGATTATAAATGAAGAGTATCAAAAGATAATGGAAGAACGTAGGCTAGAGGATGAAAGACGGCAAAGAGAGGAAGAACAAAGACGCCAAATGGAACAAGCCGTTATAACAATACAAGCATTTTGGAGGTCATATAAAACAAGAAAACTGGCACGTGGAAGAAAAGGAGGTAGTAGAAAAGCGAAGAAGTAATTCATAAAACAGAGTCAAAACACTATTCAACTGGGATTAAAAAGGTAAACATGAAAACTTATTTAGAACCTGACTATTTAACACTAAATACATCCATTAAATCGCGAGCCCATGAATGAAAAGACTTGTATGTTCTCAATTACATGTTAGTCACGTGATTCGTAAAAATTAAAATGTGTAAAACATCAAATCTTTGATGAACTTATATGGTATTTACCCATATTTAATTAATTAGTTACCTTTCATGTTATTCATCAATGTTTATTTTATATAACAGTAATAAACAACTTATTGTTGAACATTTGGATACATTTCTTTATTTAAATTTTGTGTAATCGACCCTGAGTCACATCATGTGTATCCATGCTACCGATACTATTGGACAGCCTAGGTCAAAATAGATGTAACTGTTTCGATAATGTCGTTTAAATTCAAATTCGGTAATTTTATGGGTTACTGTAAATCAACATGTAGCTAATATGATATTACAAATGATAACACCTGTAAAAAGAAACAAAATTATACACGTTCATATTGTAAAGAAATAAAGATAGGAATGTGAGTATAATAAAAAAGAACAAAAATGGATAGAAATTAGTATATGACAGTGAAAATAATGATAATAATATTGTTCGCAACGGGGACAGTCGAGTTTGAGATGATAGACTGATATTTTTCAAATTAACTATTTACTATATGGTTCTCAGATTTTATTGAGATGCTCTGTAATTTAGTGTCAAATATATACGATTGTCCCCAGTGGTGTTTTGTTCATTAAACTATCAGAAAGGATCGTTCCAGTCAAAGAAGTTCCTCTCACCATTATGAAGCAAAAAAGTTAGAATAGGATTTCCACTGCCTTTTATTTTGAGTCGTCTGATAATGTCTCAAGACATTGAGTTGCACTATTTCTAGGACCCCTACCAAGGAGACGTGAAGGACCAACAGATGCCAGTCCTGTACACCTTTCTTTCGTACCATAACACTATATCGTACGCTGACCACATCTCCGCCTTTTCCAAATGGTCCCAGCATCGGCAAATAACGCACGACATGGAATTCTCTGGAACGACATTCGTAAGACATGTCCAAGCCAATGAAGTCAGTGTTCCAATACAGTGATACGGATTGGATTATCGTCACTGTGCCCGAATACACGATGCCGAACCTCTGCATTACTAACATGGTGTTGCCACTGGATCTCAGCAATCCTTCGGAAACAACGATGATTGAACACAGAGAGTCGTCTAACATCCTCAACTCAGAGAGACCAGGTCGCACAAGCATAGAGTAAAATTGCTCTCACCGACGCGTTGTAGATCCGACCTTTTACAGCCAGACTAACATCATGAAGGCGCCAAAGGTGTCCCAGATTGGCATAAGCCACTATGGTTTTCACTATACGTGCATTGATCTCATCACTCACGCCAACACCAGCATTTATGTAGCTACGCAGATACACGAACTTCTCGACTACTTCTATCTACTCACTACCCACTGCACTTCGAAGGTGCAGAGCACATGCCATACCTACGGACATTGATTGCCAACTGATTAAGTGCTGATTGCGTGGCTTGGGTATTATTGCACAGTAAGACAATATCATCCGCACACTCAAAGTCGAAAAGTCTTTCTCCAGGCAACAGATCCACACCGATATTACTTACATCCATCAGAGCTGTTCCCAGAATGTCATCGATAGCAAAGTTGAAGAGAAACGGTGAGATTGGGCAACCCTGTCTAACCCCACTGCTCGAATAGAACAATGGAGAGAGGTGGTTCTATGCCCTCACTCTGTCTGAGGTGTTTGTATATAGGGCTTTTAGGATGTTAATAAACTTCTCAGGCACACCCTTCTTCAATAGACAATCCCAGAGAACAATCCTGTCCAACGAATCGAAGGCAGCCCTGATGTCAAGAAACACTACGATTGTTGGCCTGTGATAAATATGACGGTGTTCTGACATTTGGTGGAGGAAGGAGATATGCTCAATGCATCCTCGACCGGAATGGAAACCAGCCTGATCTTTGTGAGTCAATCTTTCTTAGGTTTCGAACAATCTATGAGGTTTGACGAAAGCCAATAGTTTGGACGCAATCATAAGTGGACTTATTCTCCGATAGTTGTTACAGGGACGACGTGAACCCTTTTTAAAGATAGGGACAACTATCGACTCACTCCATGATGTTGGAACACTCTCCAATTGTCATACCTGTGTAAATGAATCAGTTAGTTCCTTAACCAGAAAGTCGCCGCCATCTCTATATTGGACGGAGTTGAGTCATTAGGGTCTGGTGATTTGTAGAGCTTCAACAGTTGGAGCTACTTGCGGACTTCCGCCTCATTTGGTGGATCAGTCGTCACCCGCCATAGTGGGCACGGCAGTCTGATCTATGTAGTCGGGACGGCAGACCAGTTGAACTGCTCCTCGAAAATTTTCCCATCGTCCAAGACGTCTGCAGGTGTTATTGATTGACATCCCGTCAGCCTCACAGATTGTTTCACGCCAGATATCAAACAGCCAGTGACTCTGGTGAATTGAAAGAGCTCTCACTACCAAGGTTTTTGGTCCTTATTCAAGATTGGCACAATTACATTACGTAACAATCTTCGTTTGTGGTCAGACTAGTGGTTAGTTGAACTACACCGACACGCTTCAATAAGCTACAATTAGTCTGTAAAAACCCAATGCTTATAAGCGAGATTTTTCGCGAAACCGCGAGACTTAACTCGCAATTTTCTTGTCTTCATGCGACTGCAGTCAATGCCCATCTATACCTTTCAGTGGGATGGTAGTTAACCTTGAACCTAGTTCGGTTTGATATTTAGTTGCAACAGAAGCTGCAACCAATTTGATGACGTCGATCCATATAGGACGATAAATTGCTGGCCACTGAAATGTAAAGTAAAATGAGCTCAAACAAGGGCATGATCAGAGTCCAAATATGTACTCCAAAAGGAGCGGCAGTCCTGTACACATCCACGCCAGCGATTACTGTACCGGTAGTTAGTGCTAGCCAGAAACATGTTGTAATATGCGCAAAGTTGCAGTAAATGGTCACAGTTATCTGGCCTGCGAGCAACAAGTCCCCATCGGCCGTCTGAACGATTCTTTTCTGTCAGTGCTGCCTCAGCTCTAGCGCTTAGTGAGACACCAACAAAACCAGACGAATTTGCCAGTGTCTTCGGATAAACGCACGTGAAACAAGCCCTTCGAAGTGACCGATGGAGAGCGAATTTGTAGTATTTCACTAGTCTTGAATACGGGTTTCGGATAGACATCGATACTAAGGCTTTCGGTTGTCCTCACCTGTGTTCTCCTTCACTACAATACTACCTGGGTGCCCAAACCGAAGCAGGTGGTTTTCTTAGGGGACCATAACCAAAACCTTTGACCTAGAGGTCTAATTCACAAAACGGTGAAATGATGATAGAAGATGCAGTCCTATGGTAGCCGCTGATCAACAATGGGTTCGTAAGCCATTTGTTCCCTCAATATGATGGAGTCCATGTCCACCATTGGTTTTAAACCAAGATTTTTCAACTCCCCTAGGTGGATCTTCCGTACCCATTAAGAACAGTTAAAAACAGAGTTTCAAACGTCCAGAGAAAAGTTTAATTTCGAAATATACCGCAATTTCATTGCCAATTCGCAATGTTTACTACCCCAGTGGTGTTATCTCACGTGTCTATTTTTAACAGCGAAGTTTTTTAGAGAGATGTTTGTGGATGTTGGATTCACAACAGAATAAGAGATTATTTGACAATTAATAGATTAGGTAAGTGAAACGTTCTCTCATTACATTATCCATGATAGCCATAACAAAAAGAACTTTTACGTGAAATACATGTGCAGTATGAAAATCCATCCACAGTGACCGACAAAATAATCATCAGCAAGAGAAAGGTTTCACAAAATATACTGCATTTAATGGTTCGAAAAACCATTAGCTGTGGATCTTTCGTTCATGTTTAGAGGATAGATGGATTTTATCCAGCCAAAAGGTGGCCGACGGATCATAATCATGAGCGGTCGTACGTTATTTTTGTGTTATGTAAAATATTATTAACGGTCCAGTCACACATTTTGCAATTTAGACGGAAAAGTCTACATACTTACTTTTGTACTAAATGTATGTCATTTATAACATACTAAAGGTCCAGTTGACTCATTCAATTATTAGTACGAGATTCCACAATAGTGACATTTAGAATATGCATCTTCTCGGTTATTATGATAAATTTTCGTAGACAAATCAACTCATTAAAAAAATGGAAAATTGATATATTTTTATAAAATCACCATATTTGTTGAAAGTAGACTCTTCGTGGCGGGGTTAAAACTGCGTTTCTGATTATTCATAGAACGAAAGAAGTGATGAGTAGGTAGTAACATTAAATCGAACAAACTTCACGCCCGTAGAAATTCCATTCATCTGTATTAATATGCTCAATTACTGAAGTAAATAATTTTCCATATGTAATGATAGCCTACTATGCATGTGATTCTATCACTCGTCACTTTGTGAATTATATATAAACCCATTAAAAGATTCATGCTTCGAGTAGGCTGATAACTATCATCCCAAATCCGTTAATTTGATTTACATTTACGGTTTGTCTGCTCATATACCAATACCTGAAATAAATTCTCACAATAGATCTCATATTTGACATTTCGCTACCACCATTGAACAATGGCGTTAACTCAAGTATGATATACGTAACTAAATGGGGAATTATATTTCAATATCGTCTTCATCAAGGAGCTACATAGGAAAACTGAAACCTTCAAATGGAAAAACGTAAGTTAGGATTCCAAGACATTACCAATGAAGAAATATGAAAGTTATTAACCCGCTTCACAAACTTCAGTACTGAATGAATAACTGAATAGCCAGACTGCAAAGTGTCAGGAGGACACCACAACTAAAAAGTAAAGATAAATAACTTACGATAATTTAGAATGAGACCTGTTAAATCCCCGTCTGTGTAGAGAAAACAATGAAAACCTTGTATCAGTAAAATCATTTTATGTACATGATAGTATGTATACAACTTAAGTTGTATTAGTTGAACTGTTCTACATTAACTGCCACTTAGATGGAACAATTGTTTTAACTGGTTCTTCACTCTTGTTTAAGTCTCCCAAAGACTCAAGTTTCTTTTTTTGCAACTCTTCATAGTCGTGCTGCCAATAAGCTTTGTTTTGTGGATGGACCATTCTCGAGTAATATGGATCCCATACCATACCTTGACGGATTTTTGAAAGAATCTGTAACAAAGGAATGAAAATCATCAGTAATTAAATATAGTATTAATATTGAAGTCGAAAAGATTATAAAACCTACTTAATGCATGTGATAACGGCAAACAAATGTGAATTTGGATCCTGTTATGTTAACAATCGTACAAATAAACTGCTCACGCACATATTTTTAGGCGAGTTTCGCCAATTTTACTCAGAACAAAACATAAGCATTACAACGATTTAAAAAAATAAATGAGGAAAAAATATACATTTAAAGTGTTAGTAAAATGAAATTAAACTTACTTGATAACGACTTTTTAGTTTATATGAACCTGCTCTAGGTCTAAGTGAATACGGATGAGGAATGTTATCCCAGTCGGGTGTAGTACGAAGTGTTTCAATAAGGCTCGGATACATAGCACGTTTTTCTTCATCTGACATACTGTCATAATCTATCCCAATGGCATCCAACTCTTCAATAGGTGGTGTCTCCTTCAGTTGTATACCACCATTCAACAAGGACTCGTAGAAAGCTCTAGTCTATTTTTATCTAAAATATGAACGACAGAGAACATACGCTTTCGTTTTCTTTATATATCTCGCTCGTTTCTGAAAATAACTCGGTGAAACCACATTGGTGACATCTTAAGGCCAAAACTCTTCCAACATTTTCTGCAGCTGAAACATCAATACAACTAAAAGATGTAGCATTTTCAAAAATAATACCTATATAAATGTTTTCTGATGCTAACTTCTTTAGTTGAAGCAGAGATCAGCACTTTTGAAGAAGCATGAACAACAAGACCTGTTGTATTATGAGGTTCTCTATTTAAGACTACTCTGGATTAATATAAAGTAAAATATATCAATAAAAATTACTTATTCCAAAAGTCTTTTCGTGGAGCTTGAAATTCCCAACCTTTCGTTTTCGGTGCTAGACCAAGAAGTTCAAGATTTCTATAACTATGCCTTCCGTAAAAGTTTTCTAACCTTGGGTTTTTGTTACGATACACCAAAGTAGACATCGTTTTTAAGGAAAATCTTTTTGGGACATTTGAAAAAGCACAGGAATTTAACAGATTATTTAGCATAATTTGTCCCTTCCAAATAATGAAGACTTTTTAAAATCTGAGAAACATACCACTAACCTCAACACAGCAGGACTATAAGGAAAACTTCACGTTATTGCAATTGACTACAAAAAATTTTAAACATATAAACCTAAAACGGAATTAACATGGCATTCAATTAGTTAATCACGGGTAGTTCATCATAGCCTACAAGTATTACCTGACATCCAACCTAACAATCATGAAACATTATTACGTTATTTCAGGGACCCGTAACCAAATGAATAAAGTGAGTACTCAATGTCGGACATCTGAGTGATGATTTCAGAAAAAGATTACAGACAAAACCCCCATATACTCACCATCAATAACCGAAAAATTTTCTGTCTGTGGCTTGAAACTGCTTCAACTCAAAGAGGAAACACTGATAGCCTGTTTTTAGTCCGAGTTTATGCACTAAAGTCTACGAGGTAAAGAAGAGGTATTAACCAATGAGATCACCGACTTTCGGTTTAAGCTGTCAGCAAGTCCGAAAATCCTACCTAGAACCTGTAAGATAAATGCAATCTTGGGATGTGCTATGTAGCCTAAAATCAGTGGACGTGGTGCTGTCGCTTTACTTTCTATCTTGCCTTAGATCTTAAATATCCCATTGTTCCTAAACTGCCATTTTTTATCTGGATTTGTTACTTTCGAACTGCTTTTTACGCTACATGCTTCCCTTTCTACCTTAAACTCGCCAATCTATCATACTTCTATTATGAATGATATTTTGCTCAAAATCTTCACACCTCTGCTGCAAAAAAGTAGTAAGTTGACATATATAATCTATCTTATCGACAGTAAAATCACAATCGTTAATCTGTACAATAAAACGGACATCAAGAATAGACTATTCCCAAAATGTATCTTGACAAAAGTTTCGAATTGTTTTTTTTAATTAATTAGAACAACTATGCGTGGTTTACAAGTGGGACAAGATAATCAAAGTGCTATCGGGAAAATATGGTGAGTCGAAAACTGAGAGAATAAAAAAATGAAGCTTCACGCAGGAATGTATTGATTTGAGTTCATACTTTACAACAGCGCAGAAGGGAAAACGAGCCGAAATAAAGTATTTGAACTGATAAGAATACATATCGGAAGCAACAAACCAATAAGTAGTAAAATGATTATGGTTTGGAACGTATGGTGCTAAATATCAAGTCAATCACAATACCTAGCAGCTATTTTAAAGAATTATAATGACAAAAAAAGTTAACAATCTGTGGGACCCAATGAGTGGAGAAGAAGCTAAGATTGAACTACTCATTTCACACAATGTTCAACAAGAAATAAATCATGACTGTGTACGAGCGGTACAATTTTCGATTGAGCTAAAAATAAGTCGTGTTCATTTCTTCCTATACATCATTTGCACTTGTAGTAATAAGATTAACAGGGTTACAAGTTTCACTACTACTTCACCTCTTCAATAGGTTGGCATATACAAGTAAGCTCTCTATTTTTTCTTTTCCCTCTTCAATGATGTCATAAGTACTCTCTGTTATCTGTCGATTAACCCAGTAGTGTCCAGTTGACTTATTTCTTTGCCCAACTCCTCGTTGATTAATAACATTTGGCTGCTTAAACCAAGCTTTATCTCTATAGGAGTGCCCCAACTCTTCCGGTCACAATGTGTCTTCTGCTTGTGTTGGGTTTTTCCTAGGTTCTCTCAGACCCAGCCATGATTGTATATAATATCACTTCTTAACGGAACCATCATTTCGAACACAATAAGATTATCCCACTGACTTGCCACGGCTGTGTCACTGAGAAGACATATATCTTTTTCCAGCCACAGTGTAGTGAATATCCTGCTGACTCCTGTTTGCTACTTTAGTATACTCACAAACGAGGGTGTAGTAGAGTATCCCATGCCACCACCTCTGCCTCGATGAAGGTCTTGAGTAGTGTTCTTGAAGCATAATCCTCACATCAATATACTTTTAAAATTAGATCACTGATCAAAATGCAGTTGCCCGGGTGCTCCCCATACGGTAATCTAGCTGTCAAACAATGATTTTGCCACCGTACGAGCATTGATTCTACCGAGTGAGATGGCTTCACACCATTTCGTAAAATGATCTACCATAATCAATATATATATGCTTTCTTGCTATATCTCCCAGTAGTCCTATTGTATCAACTCCCAGGGACCAAACCTCCATATCAATTAACAGCACTCGCTGTCTTCCAGCCGCGTTTATCACGTTCCAGCAAGCCTGAAAACCATTCGGAAAGCCCTAAATGTCCCGTGGCCACCAATATCTTATTTCAATTCCCTGATCCATCTTGCCATTTCCAGAGTGTCAATTATTGGCATGAACTTTATCCAACATTGCTGTAGCGATAGGTTATGGCACTATTAGTAGTACCGATTGAACACAGGATAACTTACGCCAATACTAACTGGTCCCACAACACCCACAAACACTTTGTCTTCCGACTTTTCCCCTTAACTTCCGTGTTAGGTGGCCTTTGTCAATTGCCGCGGACAGCTCGATATAGTAGTAGTGCCTCACCATCTATTTCTTGTATATGTGCCCACTGTATTATCAAGTCTTGCTTAAGAGACGGGGTGAATGTTGATTACACTAAAATAGGGACAGTCTCAGTGTGACACAACAGGCTGTTGTGATAAGAAATCTGAAACTTTATGTTGGCGTCCCAGTCGATGGATACGCTCGAAACCGAAGTTTTGCAGTCTTGCCAATACGTCGTTTTCTCTCCCAAAATGCTGTGGCCATTAGGGAGCTTCATAGTAAGTACTTAGTATGAAATTTATGCCAAGAAGATACGGTCTGTACTTCCGTACGAATTTCACGACAGCTAGTATTTCCTTCCGTGTAACAATAATTTTTTCAGACCGGTTTAACGCTTGATTTCCAAACCTAATAAAATGCTCTTTGTAACTGTGCCCAATTTGGGAAAACGCCGATTTAATTCCTACTTCACTTGTGTCTGTACCTAAGCTGTACATACCTGGATTATTTGTATTCTGAAGCTGCAACGATTTAGTGTATCGTTTAATTTTGAAGGTTACTGAGAACCTGGAGGTCAAAGTTCCGTAAAACGATTAATGCGTCATCTCGACAATTAATAGGGTTCCACAGAAGCGATCAAATCGAGACAGTCTTCAACGTGATTGAATTCGACCACAGTGCCTCATAATGTCCATTCTTCAAGTAACGAAACTGATTCCGTCGTAATGACGCATGATGCAGGACAAGTATTTGGTGATAAGTTATCGCGACGACTCACCTTTCGGGGCGATTTTGAGACCTGCTCGAATGAAGTACATAAGGTAATATTACTTCTACGATTGATAATTCTTTGTACAGAATGAGTACACTAAGTATGTCATGTCAGTCTGTAAAAAGAACAAAGATAACCCTACTCTAAGGTATTTTTTCGTCAGATATGTTTGTACTTGTGAACAGAAACAGTGCTTCGGAATCAGATGCTTGTCTTCAGAATTTAGATGATGATGGTGATCAACATTCTTCCGAGGAGCATGCATCTTCTAACTCATCACAACTCAGACAAAGATGACATCGGTCATCTACGTATGATTCATTCCAAACGACCTTATCCTTCAGCTTTAAATAATGCCACTGCTTATCTGGATTTTGGATCCGTGCAGTGATTTGTAAGTTGAAGGTCACCTCCACCAAAATTCTGCACAACCATCCCTGTACAGGATATATTTCTGTAGATCCTTTGAGACCCGAAGTAACTGCAGAACTCAACTGCTTCTAAGACAAGGGCATATGTTGTTGATGCTTCACGTGCAAGACGTGCTTATGGACGTCCCAGTGGATACATGTTGCCGTGTGCACACACCAAAGATCTAATTCGCGTATGTCTTTGTCTCTATAAGCACTATAGATTTACTTCGACACAGCTGTCGGTGAACAAGTAACTACATGACCGACTTGATTCTGATTTATTTTCCAGTCTAGAAATACCTAGAACTCCCCCTGTAGCCCCTCTGGGGCCAATGCCGATCCCAATACTGGATGAAGGAGGAGGGTTTGGCAGAAGGGTTAGAGACCCCATCCAGTGGAAATCTAACTCGCTAAAAACACGCTAACCAGGAAAACAATTCAATACCTCAACTTAATTACTTACGCCTGCTACTCCTCGTCGTAGAGTATATGCCGCCGACCAAAATTCTATATCCAACTCTGCCCTGGGCAATCTTTTCCGGTTGCTTCCAGTTGCTATTCATCCTTTTCATGTCTGCCTCCTATTCCCTACACAGTGTATTTATTATTATTATCATTATTCACGAACATCTTATGGGTACATGGTCATCCGCTTTTCCGTTTCCTTCCGGGATTCCAGGTTGACGCTCGCTTCGTTATGCAATTTAATGATTTCCGGAATGTACGTTTCACGCACCGATTCCAACATCTCTTTCTAATTTCCTCACCAGATGGAACCTGGTTTGTCCTCGCCCACACTGTCAAAATCGATTGTTCTCAATGACCATGGCTATGCTTCTTGATAACCAGACGTTTGTTATTGTAACTTTTTTACTTTTACATAAGTTCACTTATACGGCCATCAACTTATTCTTACAGTGTCACGGCAGGGATCGTGTACCCTAAAGTCTTATATAATAGTCTGACTACGGAATACAAGGACGTCGGTTCGCGTTGATATGTAACGATTTTCAGGTTAGTGCCTGCGTGATTGGTGGTCCGGACCGTTTACCAAATACTTCAACCCTGAACTTAGTGAATTAAACAACTAAGTTAAATTCGGTACTACTGTACTACTTAGAAATCACATAACAGTTGCTTTTTGCCTCGGTATACGTCGGTAAAACTGAGTGACTGACATCAATTTGCTTTATTATTAGATAAAGCATCGACTCATGGTTTTAACCAATGCTCTTTCGTCAATGATCAGAGTCTCTATCATGAAAGTATCTCATCTGTTCTTCATTCTAGGTGGTTTGTCATTCGCAACCTAGCAGCCCTTCCTTCACTTCTGCAGGTATGTTTATGTAATGAGTTCGGAATGATTTTTCTTCTCTTGAAAATTTAATAGGACTCAGACATTTATTACCTATACCTATAGTCACTACCGCAGATAAAGGATATTTACTAGCTATTTGATTTCAACACATTCATTCATCGAACGATAAATAGGGGTGAGTGGTCAAAGTTGTTCATGAGATATTCATGTTACAGCATGTATGTAGTACAGGTATGTGCATATTCGGAACCAGTTACGTCACTGACCATCCCGTCACCTAGTTACTCAAAAAATACTGAAACACATGTAAGATCTAATTCATTGTATTGAAGATCATTTAAAACAATATGATTTTAAACTTTCTAATGGACATGCATGGCTAGTGAAATGTCTCCGAGACCTAGCCGAATACTCCAGTTTTGGGGTCGCTGAATGTCGAACAATTTATCGATCCCCATCCAGGTCAAGGAAAACCAGCACACGCCATGAATTGGCTGATGCAGTGGTGGTCACACCTTTGCCTGTACTTACTTTAACTAATATATTTCCGTAACAACGTTCTTTGTGCTGTGCAGTCTTCAACGCATCCGTAGTGCCTTGATACGACGAAGGAGTAATTCACGTTAGGTGCTGACTGCGAGGCGTAACTTCGACGTTAGCTGTTGGTCACTCCATTCCTCTCTAACTTCAGTAGGCCCTAATTATTCAACATAGATCATCTTTGATGATCTACAAATGTGCGGACGCTGGATATCTATTCACGTTTTATAATTAGAATTATAGTTATATTTATAATTATAATTATTTTCGCTCCATTAATAAAGGGAAATTCTCCAAACTGGCAAATGTCTGTTAAAAAAGTAAATAAGTGGTTATTAAACTGGTACAGTGAACATATTCATAAAACTAGACGAATGTATGTTAAGGTACGGAATTCTTGTTTCTGTGACTGATTTATACTTTGTGATTCCTTGTATTATAGAGAAGTCGGTGTTCAAAAGTCAAATTTATGATTGTCAAATCTCGCGAATTCCAATAATTAGGCAGCTACCTTGATTTGATATGGATTATTTCAAACAACTGCCACCTGCCTTCGATGTTCATGAGACTGAAGTCTCATCCCATACTTCATCTTCATTTCTCACAAGTGTCACTCAAGCAACCAATTAAGGCGAAATAAAGCGGACGACAAAGTAAATAATAGGAAAAGTCGATTTTTGCCCTCTTACATCGTGTATTTACGGGAAGTTTGCAGACAAATATATGTAAAGTACCTCGTTTGAATATGCAGCCTCCTGTACTAACTTCCCCATAAATATTTACAAACCAGTGAATTGTTTTATAACAAACGAGAACAACCATCATTAACGCATGTCTAAATATACAGACACAATGAATTTCGTGAGATCTATATACCCAAAGATTGTTGTTTTTGTTTAACCAGGCTGTTCGCATATACTAGGTGACAGTCATACATAGCTTACGACGTGCATGTAAATAGCTTGCTCTCTGTTTTTGTGTTCATTGTCACTAATTACCTCGTTCGTCCTATAAGAAGTATTCAGTAAACGTCCGTGAGAGTGTTCATAGACGTGAGGGCAACAATTGGCCTATCAAGTTCACCCGCTTGTCATAGGTCAACATATAACCGTAGGTGGAATAAAATGCGAAGGACGCTTCTGAAAAAACAAGACTTCCTTTCGTGTAGTTAACTTGCAAATGAAAGCATGATCAACGGTAATTGGATTTACCAGTGTTTTATGTTGCTGTTTATGCAGTCACCTCTGAATTTCATTGTGATGAGAATCTATCAACAGTGATAGCATCTGGTAGCCACAATAACGAAAGGTGACTGGATGATAACGGCACGTAAAGGGATTGAATCCGTTCATCCGTTTCCTGTAGGATGTAATGAAGTTTCCTCGTGTTCACAAGCGTACCTAAACCAGAAAGAACAGATTAACATGGCACTTATGAGTTTTATGACAAACGGCTGTCAAACCGTCAAAGATGCTGATCGCATCCTAAACGCTTTTTGAAATCTTGTCCCTGACTTACCAAGCAGCATCAATGTCCAACCCAAGTTCGTCAGCAGTGAAGTTTACTAACATCTCGGATTAAGAGCCAACCTGACAAGATATGTCCAACTTTGATTGTGTACTTGTGGTATTAATATGATTGGTTTGTATATTAGTGTAAATGAACTTTCTAGTTCGAGGAGCTCTAGTCATCAGTTATGATCTATATCAGGACGCATCGTTGCCCCTAAGTTTAATGACATGTTCATGATAGGTATCTATGGAATTCAATGGAATATCTGCGGACACCATTTCGGAACTAAAAGAACTGAGGGACATGTGTCTGCTTGATGTTATGTCCATCAAACTGGTAGCTGTAGTACGTGACTTACCTGCTCGTTTAGATGTTAGGTGCACTGTTGATCACAATGGGAATGCAGGTTGTAATAAGTGTGTTGCGGTGGGTTGGTGCATTGGCGGAAAGATGACCATTGGAAAGGGCGAATATACATTGAGAACTGATGACAGTTTTCGTCAACAGATTCAATCCTTTTGCCATCAAGGCCATTCAAACTTCGAAACGCTTAGCAGTGATATGATTCTAACTTTCACTTTAGGTCAAGTGCACATGATATGCTTAAGTTTGATGAACAAACTAATCAGACCATGGATAAAGTTGTCCAACAAAAGACTATGTAACAAGGACAAATATGTGGTTTGAGATATAAATAAATTAATATCACGTTGTATACCAAGTACTCCTTCCAACTTTCAGCGTAAATGTTGAATATTAGACTTCATTTCAGTATGGAAAGAGACAGAGTGTCGACTGTTCTTTCTATATTTAGCTTCCGTGATTCTTCAAAAATGTTTACCACAAACCTTTTACGATACTTTTAAGAGTTACATATTAGCGATGTATTCGGTAGCGCATCCAAGATTACATAAAAGCGCAACGGAATCAGTCATAACTTATTTACTCAATTTTCTCAAGGGATATGGTCAGGATAACTTATTTTATAATGGGCATTTATTAAAGCACCTACCTGATCACGTTAGTTCACAAAGAGCTTTGGATTATTTTTCCGACATCCCACTAGAGTTTCATATGAGGCAGATTAAGAAGCAGTGATATTTCAGTGTCTATGCCCTTGATGATTTTAGTCGAAAAATCATACATTTCAGCGAGTTTTCTGAATCGCTTTAAAATAGTACTCAGCTCTTCTACTAGCTATCTTTGCAAGACTATTCTCAGTCTAAACACTTGTTATCCGTACAAGAAGCAGTAACGCTGAGATGTTGGTTTGGTCCCTGGTGAAAGCTACATATAACTGTACATTTTATCCATGAGACTTATTTATTTCCTGAAATATAATGGTTTTGTGGCTTATACATCTAACCAGAGAAGGTAATGTTAACAGCTAAGCAGGACGTTTTATCGCCCGAAGAGGATGCATAACAATGGAAACCATAAAGAAAGCTTATATTCCCAATATTGTTCTACTAATAGCATGGAAGTAGATTGTCATAATCTAATGTATGTGATATTTAGGTCTTCTGCCCGCTGATGCCATTACAAAGTTTATATGCATTAAACGTGCCTGCTCAACTATTAGCAATTGATAACCGCAGTCTGGGATTGGGAACCTAGGGATATGTGGAAATAGAAATGAAAATACTGGTAAGTTATGGTTAGATACTATCTTGAGTCCTTAAGAGTATGCCACGTTTTCCCCTAAAGGGCTCCTTAGAAGTTGCTTGGAGCACATCAACCAGTAGTGAATTCCTGAACCTGACTACTCATAGAGTGTAAAATTTGTGCCTACGGTCGATCCCGCCATGTTGTATCCTCAGATTTTGCGTGTTACTCCTAAGGTTTCTGCTGCAATTGAGTTTAAGTAGGTATTTGATGGGCTATCCAGAAGTGATGCCATAAGACACTGAAAGGTCACCTCTGAGATGCCTGTACTATAATGGGAAAAGACTCGATTATTTGAGCCGCTATTCACAAGGTTTGAATTTGGGTCCTCGAAATGATTTCGTGGCTCGCCGTTGGATAGGTCGAAGTGTATTTGTAACAGCTCAGGTTGGTTGGTTAAGAGTTGACCCCAAACAACCAAGCTTATGCCAAAACAGTATTGTTCAAGTATTCATTCACTTCCTTATTTTTTATAAGCGTTATATTCCCTATTATCTTGAATGTTGAGAGCCTTTGTTTGTCTGAACAGATAATCCCACGCTCTACTGTGACTGCGCGAAGATCGAAATAAAGACCTATTCACTACTTGTCTGGTTTCTTCTATCAATAGCACGAGGGTTACTTCAAGGCACGAAATTGGTGAGCCCTTTTTGAACACAAATTTAACCTCATTTCTGTTATTAACATTTTTTTACTTAATCGTAAAAGTAGACCTGATTATCCGTGAACTAATATGAATATCACAGCTATGCTAACGTTAAACCAATTATTATTAGTGGTCCATACAAAATCCTGGAACTTAACACTAGCGTTATAAAAAAAACATGTTATGTCAATAACTTATATATATATATACCTTTTTTTCTCGTTGGTTTAATTATAACGTAAAATGGAAATCTACCACACTTGTAGTTTTTTTTCTATAGCATTATTATTAATCAAAACAAAGAACTTGTACTATTCCAATATGGCACTTTGACATACCAATCCGTCCTCCTGTTATCTTTCTCTCATATCTGAGCAACATATGGCCAACAAACATCGTATTGAAGGGGGTTTTGGTGAACGAAAACGCTAGCCCCACACGCACTCGAACCTCTGCCCTCCTGGATGCTAGACCGTGTGCCTAGCCATTAGACCACATCAAACCACGGGCGAATGACTGCAATCTTTCCTTTTACCGATTAATCATATATAATACTAATGAGTAATAGGACTTACACATTTCTAAGGTGCAGACAAATTCGTTACTTGGATGAATTGACGAAGTATTGCTTCAATATATCATACATACTTAGATCAAACCAGAAAAGAGTATTTGACACAATTGTACTTAATCCTCATAATCTACACAATTTTTTCTCCTCCTTAACCGTATATTCTTTTCCGTTTTGTGGAGTACAACTATGCACCCTTGGTTACGTACCTGGTTATAAAAGGCGGTCGTCATAGGCCCAAGGTCATACATTTGATCGGGTTTGACAATGAGTCCAACTTCTAGCAAGTTTACACTTTTACATATATGCATTATAAAAAAGTATTTTTTTTTGTGTTCATACCTTTCGTACATAAGATGGCTACACTATGTCTATTTTCTTCCAGAATACCAATCCTTTCTGGAGGCCAATCACTTACGTGGAACCGAACAATTATAAATTATATTTTTGTATTTCCATTTTGTATCTTATTATTTTTATGCAGGCAGTGGAGCAGTTCTTCAGGTGTGATTGGTTTTCACCATTACCTTTGAAGTAGATTCTTCTTTACTTTTTACTTGAGGGCGACTAAAGAGGCAGGTGAGTAAACACCTGATAGCCGGTCTGAGCATGGAAAAATCGTACCTCACCAACATGGTGTTGGGTAGTCCGCTCGCGGCACTTCCTCAGATATTCTTATTCCACATTCTCACACTCTTTCTCTTGAAAGCACGCGGTAAACCGTCAGCGATAGTTGTAGAATAGATCACATGCTACAAAATAAGATGGCAAGCTAGTAAATGAGGAGACATCCATGGACTATCGTTGACAGCGTTAGTCGTCACTGATTGTAAGTCAAATAGTGAGCGAGTTGATAATTTTCCCTTGGGATGAGAAATAGAACTAAGGTATTTTCGATAGATAGGTTAATGGAACCGACGTTCCTACGGAAGTCGATTCTAGGGGGAAGCTAATGTAACAGCTCAGGTTGGTTGGTTAAGAGTTGACCCCAAACAACCAAGCTTATGCCAAAACAGTATTGTTCAAGTATTCATTCACTTCCTTATTTTTTATAAGCGTTATATTCCCTATTATCTTGAATGTTGAGAGCCTTTGTTTGTCTGAACAGATAATCCCACGCTCCACTGTGACTGCGCGAAGATCGAAATAAAGACCTATTCACTACTTGTCTGGTTTCTTCTATCAATAGCACGAGGGTTACTTCAAGGCACGAAATATTCTTGTACTTTTGAAATGAGGTGAAGAATACTGTATTTCCATTTTCTGAATAGGGTTGAATGAAACTGCTCATTGTCATACTAGCAAAAAATTCTTCAACGTTACCGATTCAAGGTTCGCTCGAAAGACGTTTTTGCCGCAGTTGACATGAGACTTTTATT